TCGGAGTTAAATAAAACAAAAAAAAAAAACGTTTTATAATTACACTTCATAAATATATTCATTTTATCTGTCACAATTTTTTTGTGTTCGATTTTAACGGAAAAAAGAACTGTGACGTCACCGGAAGCGAATTGTTTTTATTAAAAGAAAAAAAATTGTCAATTAAAATCCTTTTTGAAATCGGTTAAGCGCGAAATTAAAAATAATAAAATAAAAAAAAATTGTATAAATTCTTTTTCTTTTTAAATTATAAATATAATAATAATAATAATGATCGAGTTTAATATCCTGTCGATGATAATGATATTATTTTTTTACACAAAAAAAATTTCATCGATTTTGTAAAACATTTTTTTTTAAGTTTCGTGATTGTTTCACGTAGTAGTTTTTTTTCGGTTACGTAGTATCGACGACGATATGAAAGCGCGAAACGTTGTCAATATAAATTCCATTTGTAAATTTTTTGTCGTCGCCGTACGTTATTTTAAACGTTTCGAAGTGTTGTTATTTTTATTAATTTATTTTAAACGTTTAATATTATTAAATATTAATGTTAGTTAATACGTTAGTGAAATCAATGAGGGGTTTAAAAAAATAAATTAATGAAAACAACAACGATTTCTCGTGATGGTATTGTGATTTGATCAAAAAAATTTTTTCCTCAATTTTTTTTATTTAATTTTTATGTTTTGAAATATGGAAGTTATCGGATTCGATAGAATCTTGAGTGCTACAAGTGAAATACAGGTACGATTCATCACTGTCATTATTTCATCCCCCAATTTAACCCTTTAATTTATTTTGAATACATAACCTAACCTGGTCGAAATAATCATGTACATATATATGAGTAATTGATGTTGTCTTAAACACATTTAAACCATTAATAAAAATGTACATTAACGAATATAATCGTTTAAATTTAACCCTTATTATATTTGCCTTTCTTTTTAACGTATGCCTAGTAAATTAAAATTTGATAAAAAATAAAATGTCATATTTATTTTATTTTTTTTGTTGTGAATTCAAGATTCATTAAATCTGAAAGTTTTTGTTTTGAGAGAGAGAGAGAGTGTACATACATTCACTAAAAAATCTACTTCATGTTTTAATCATTTTAAAAAATAGTCCTGCTGTGTGTAAAATGTAAAATTTATTTTTTTGTGTGATTTATTCGATTGTCACTTTTTAACTTTACCATGTGTGTGTGTGTTGTCGACCTTTTTAAAACCTCAAAAAAATTATTCATTTTGACAACTAAACTAAATCATTCAGTTTGCTATTGTTAATCAAATTTTTTAGTTTGCTATTTAAATTATTATTATTATTTGTTTTATGCAGTTTAAATATTTTTTCATTTCAAATTGAATCGAGTTATTTTTAAATGATAAAAAATGATAAAATATGATTCGATGTGAACAAATGAGATGTGAGAGAGAGAGAGAGAGACATGATTTCGTTATGAAATTGCATTTCCATTTATTATTATTAAATGCAATGAAAATAAAATGTCAGAATGTCACAGTTGCTGTTGTTGTTGTTGTTGTTGTTGTTGCTGTTGGTTGCCTTTACGAAACAAAATAAAACAATTAACAAATGGGAATAAGTTAATTAATTAATATTAAGAGTAATAACAATTTCAGATAATGGCTCGATATCAAATGAATTCACATTTAAATGATCATCTCGATTAAACCTCTAATAAAATCAATGATAATAATAATTTTACAAGAGGTCAAAGTTCATGTAATTAAAAATATTTTTTTGTAATAATGTGTAATACACGTGTAAAAGAAAAAAAAATTCTTATAATAATAATGATTATGATAAGGTAAAAGTATTTTTTAAAAATGGCAAACAATAGGAGAGAGAGAGAGAGAAACGTGGATTTAGAATTAAGCTAAGAAAAAATTTTTTTTTTTTTAATTAATATTAAAAAAACGTATAATTAAAGAGGTTGTGCAATTAAATACATGTAAATAATAATAATAATGATGATGATGATGATGATGATAAATAATTTTATAATTAGGGATTATTAAGGTAAAAAAAACGTTTAAAACGTTTACGGGGTAGTATCGCGGGGGAGGGGGTATTGGGGAGGAAAGGGAGGGGTGGAAGGAGGGAAACTTATTTTAATTTAAAAGTAAATTCGGTACGATAAAATATCACGTTTCTTTCTTACTTTCTTTTTCAAAAAAAGAATTTTTCGTTTTTCTCATCTTAAAAAAAAAAAAAAAACGTCTACGGGGAACCGTTAAAAAAAATAAACAAAAAATAATTAAACATATTCGATTACTTTTTTAAATTTCGCGTTGTTATTATTATTATTACTATTATTATTATTATTATTATTATTATTATTATTATTTTTGACTACTTGGAAATTTGTCGTGGAAAACCGCGTTTAATTTAAACAGAGAATAAGTAAAAAAGTTACGTTCGTACACGTGGAAAGCGTGACGTAAGCATACCGGAAATGCATTTCCCTATGGGATTGGAGAGGGATTCGATTATTCGATAGGTCGAATATTAAATCGAAAAGGATTATGGCTAAAGAAAATTTAGATTTATCGAATGGAAAAGGAAAAAAAACCACGTGTGCGAGAGCGTGTGTCCGTTAAGGATTTCGTGAGGGAAAATTATTATCATAACCACGAGTACGTAAAGCAGACTAAATGATTTTAATGATGATGATGATGATGATGATGATGATCTCGGGCGAGTGAGGGTGGGAGGGGGAAGAAGAATTTTGTAAATAAGAAAATCCGATCGATTTTCGTTTTTCTGAAAGAGGAGGGGGAAGAGACGAGGAGAAGGAAAATCTCAAGATTTTATTTTATTTTTAGGGTGTTTATTTTAAAGTCAAAAAGATTCCAAAAGAAATATGGAATGGCATAAAAAGGAAAAAGAAAGAGAAAAAGAGAGAGAGAGAGAGAGAGAGAGAGAGAGAGAAATTAATTCGTTTTCGAAAGTTTTTTTTTTTTTTTTTTAAATAAATGAAAAAAGAATTAATTATTAAAAAAAAAAAATTTTCGTACTATTTTATTGTTTAGCGATTAATCGATGGATCGATGGATCGATCGATTAATCGATAAATCGCGGATCGTTTTGTTTTTTTTTCCCCCTCCCGGCTGTATATTTAAATCATACTGGGAGTATTTTTTCATTTTTCTCAAACTGTCTCTCTCTATCTCTTTCTCTTTCTTTCTTTCTGTCTATCTATCTCTCTTTCTTTCTCTTTGCATTTCCTTAACAATTTAAATCGTTTAATATTTATTTTAAAGTAAAAATTGAGGAGGAAAAATAAATTTTTCAAACGTTTTTTTTTTCTTTTTTTTTTCTCTCACTTTTTAAAAATTAATGATCGTTTTATATATTTATGTATATATATATATTTTTTCCTTCCAGTATTTTGAATTATTTATAAGAAAGCAGACATTTAAAAAAAAAAAATTTTTTTGTGTTTTTTTTTTTATCTAAATGAAAAATACATAAATTTTTCCAATGGCAATTGATGCGAATCGTAATGGAGAAAAAAATAGAGAGAGTGGGAGAGAGAGAGAAACGTTTCCGATATTTATTGTTTACGTCACACCATTTTCGACTTTTGACAAACTGACAACGTCGTGTTCATCATTATTATTATTATTATTATTATTATTATTATTATTATTATTATTATTATTATTATTATTATTTTCACTTCTTAATCAAGGCGGGGGGAGGGTTTTCATCTGTCATTTTGTCGGGGTTTGTCCAAAATTTATTCCGGGTCTCTTAAATTAGTACCACGTCAATCCTTATTAATTTTCCCCGAATCGGTCTCGGGAAATCGGGGTCCGGTGTGACAATAATATAACATCTGTGGAGTGACCGGAAATAAGAATTTATTATATGACGTCATCATCTTTGTTTTGTTCTCGCCGGTGTGGGTGTTTGCGTCATACACGTCCCAAGCGGCGTGACCGTTTTATTATTATTATTATTATTATTAGTATTTAAAAAAAAAAAAAAAATGTAAAAATTATGAGATTTGGTCGTTTGCGAAAACTTTGCCCCCACCCCCTCCCCCCCCGAAATGCAAAACTGTCCGCAGAAAAAAAAAAATTTGTAAGCAGAGTGAAAACCTTTTTTTTTATTCCTTTTTTTTATTCCTTTTATTTTTTCCTTTTTCCGAATGGAATGGTGCCGTATACATAAATATATATAAATTTTTTTTTTTCTTTTCGTATTTCATTGCAGGCTGTCTCACTATTTCACGGAATAATGTCGTTTTTTTGGTGGGGAGGGGGAGGGAGAGGGGGAGGGAAGAGACAAAAAATTATTTTCTTCACTTTTTCTTTTTTTTTTTTTATTTTGGATTATCTGAGATTTTTCAACGATTTCAAATTTTCTTTTAGATTCTATCGAATAGATTTTTTTTTCTTTTTCTTTTCTCTTTTTTCTTTTTTTTTCATCCCTTAAGCTTTTCTTTATACGATTTACACACACACACACACGTCGAGAATGAAATAATGGTATGTAATAAACACCGACTGAGCCAGCACCAAATAAATACTTTAATGATGATAATAAAACAAAAAAAAGAGAGAAGGCGGTGGGATTGGGGCTGGGATCGCGGGGCGTGTGAGTTGGCAACACTGAATTTTCATTTGATTGAATTCGTTCGAAAAAAAAAAAAAAAACGAAAAGAAAAAAGAAAAAAGGAAAGAAAAAAAAGTTTTTTTTTTATGTCTTCCAACGTCATTTTCTCTCTCTCTTGCTCTCTCTCTCTCTTTAATGATGACGGCGATAATAATGATGATGATAAATAAGAAAGTTTTTAAAATATTAAAAAAATTACACTTATACATATGTAAATAATAATGATAATAATAATAGTAAAATGGCGTTCGATTTGAATTAACGTGATTTTTTAAATTGAAAATTTATAACCGTCGCCGATCGAGTTGGGTAATAAAATTATTTATGACAAATTTAAGGAAAAAAAAAAAAAGATGGCGGCGGAGGATCAGTTGGAGGATCTGACGTGGCAGGAATTTACGCGTGTAAAAAGAAAAAAAAAAAAAAACAAAAACAAAAAAAAAATCAGAGCGTTACGCGGTAGTAATTTCACGCTTGACCGATCGGAAATATAAATTTGAATTTCGCGGGGTTTTTTTTTTTCCGTTTCCAGGGACATCCGGCAAAGAATTTACTCGGCGGAGAAATAAGACCGAATAAAAATTGGCTTTGCGAAAAAGGATCGAATAAGGGAGCGATAATTATTCAATTGAAAAAGGCGGCCATATTGACTTCAATACACGTCGGTAACGCTCATTCTGCATTCGTTGAAATTCTTGTCGGAAAAGCTGCTGACGTCACGGATCATTATGAGGTTTGTTTTTACTACTACTACTACTGGGGGGAGGGAGGGGAGGAAGGGGAGGTGGAAAAAAGATAAATTTTTACTCGTTTTCGTTTTCGTTGCAGTCTTTAGTTCCAGTTTCAGTTTTTATGTCTCCCCTCGATTCGACAAACGGAAATAATAAAAATCGCACGAGATTTTTCAATAAAGAAGATTTCAATCCGACGACAGCCGGAAAATTATGGGATCGAATTAAAATCGTTTGTTCTCAACCCTTTAACAAACACGTACCGTTTGGTTTGTGTTTCGTCGAAGTGCACGGAGAAAAAGATGAAACGAATTCCCCCCGCGTGGATTTTTTACAAAAACCGTCGGAAAAATTTTCAACGGAAAAGAAAAATGATGAGTGCGACGGCAGCGCCGGAAACGACAAAGACGACGGCACAAACAAGAACAAGGACGACGAGGACGAGAACGATATAAAAATTGGAAGTTTTTTCAAAAGGAAAAAAACAAGAGAGAAAAGCCTGGAAGGAACGAAACCTTCAGGATCTCCAGGTACGTAATGATTATGACGTAGGAAAATGGAAAACGTTATCAGTTATTATTTTAATACGACGCGTTATCATTTAATTTTTATATTCCGGTCTGGTGCGCTAATGACTCCCCTTAATGCCCCCCCACTTTTTTTTTCCTGGAAAAGATTTTTTCGTTGGGGGGGGGGAGGGTGATATAATCGTCAAGTTTCGGTCATCGTCATCATTATCATTTACCTTTTTTTTTTTTTTTTCTATTTCAGACGAAAAAGAAAAAGGCAAAGTGGAAAGTAAAGAATTAAAAATGTCGACATCGAGGGAATCGGAAAAACTTTCGAGTCGTCGTAGCGACGGAACGAGAGAAAAAAAATCAAAAGAAAATGAAAAAATCGTGTCAGTAGAAAAAATGAAGGGGGCGGTGGGAAAAAACGCGGGGAAAGAAAGAGAAAAGGGGGGAAAAGACGAAAAGTCGCCGGGAGTCAGTAAAAAAAAAAGAAAAATGATGGAAGGCGGTGGTGGCGGTGCCGGCGGCGGGAAGGAGGAAAGAAATAAGGGAAAAGGTGAAAAAAAAATTTCGGAGGTAAAAATAAGGAAACATGGGAAACCTTTCGAGAAGCTTTTAGACGACGTGGTTTTCGTTATAAGCGGATTTCAAAATCCCTTACGTGGAAACATACGAAACATGGCGTTGAAAATGGGAGCGAGATATTCTCCAGACTGGAAAGACGACGAGTGCACTCATTTAGTGTAAATTTTTTTTCACTAATTATAATATCATCAGCTGCTGCCACTGTTATTATTATTATTGACGAGTTGACCTTTTCCAGGTGCGCTTGCGAAAACACGCCGAAATTTAATCAGGTAAAAGGAAAAGGGAAAATTGTTAGAAAGGAATGGTTGGAAAAATGTCACTCGGATCGGAAAAGATATCCGTGGAGGAGATTTGCTCTGGATAAAAGAGAATGTAAAAAACCTGAAAGCGAAGAAGAAATCGATGAAGAAAGAGAAGAAGAGGAAGAAGAAGAAGAAGAAGAAGAAGGAAAAGAACCTGGAAAAAAGGTTTTCTTTTATCTTTATCTTTACCGTTCATTTCTCTCTCTCTCTTGTTATCGAAATTTTTATTTTATCGTTTTTAGGAGGAAGAGGAGGTAGAGAAGAAGGAGGAAAAGCGAAAAGAAAAAATCGAATTTCGTACGACGACAGCGACGGCAGCAGCAGCAGCAACAGCAACGTCATCGAAAAAAGATAAACCAGGTGAGTGAAACAGAAAAAAAAATAATTTTCTTTTGTAAATAAATAAATAAATTTTTCTTTTTGAAAAGTTCCAGATGATGAATACGACGTACCGACAGACAATGATGATGACGAGGATGACGACAACGGAAACGGAAACGACGGAAAGAAGAAAAGAGAAGCAGAAGACACGACCGATTATCCTATGCCATTCTTACCAGATTTTCTTTCCGGTAAAAAATTCTACGTCGATTCGAAAACGAAAAATAAAAAATTTTGCGAAAGATACATCGTCGCATACGACGGGTAAGTCGAAACCTTTTTTTTTTTTTTTTTTTTTCGAAACTGGAATTTTCCAGAATGTTTTTTCTCATCATTCAGAGAAAAATTTTTTTAATTTTCTATATTTGTTCTGGACAGAATTTTAACGGATTCGTTGAACGAAAACGTGGATTATTACGTCACGGATAGCGTGGGAGGAGGAGATGGGAGACACCTGGAGAGTATAAAGGATAAAATTCCAAACGTCGTGGCGGTAAAATCGTCGTGGATTTTAGAAATGAATTCGAAACAGGAATACACGTCGGTTTCCCCGCATATCGTTAAGTAATGGAAGGATGACCTCAAAGAGAACAAAAAGGATTAAACATCATCATTACCATCTCCTTCTCCTTCTCTCTCTCTCTCTCTTGGTTGTGTTTCGTGAAATTGAAAATGACAAATGCGTTAAGCGAACGAGAGAGAGAGAGAAAGAGAAAGGGAGAGTGGGGAAGGTAGGAAGAGAGAGATAGAAAATTAATTCTGGAATTTGAAAATTTCCTTTTCTACCATAATATCAGCAGTTTCTCCCCCTCCCCCTCCTCCCTCCTTTTCGTACGCGAATAGATTCGAGAAAGATAAATAAAGTGATAAAGAATTATCATTATTATTATTATCAAACGTGTGTCTCCTGCCACGGGAAAAAGAAGGGAAGAGGTGGGAGGAAGTGGTTTGGAAAATAATCATTTTCAAACAACCGGAAATATTCTTTCCCTTTCCTCCTCTTCCCTCCCTCCCTCCCCGATTGTCATTTCCAGACGGAAGATGACGATTTGAAAAATTTAGAGATGCGGGAAAATGATGTGAAAAAAGGGATTTTTTCTTCTGCTTTTTTTTCCCGAAGGTTTCGAAGATAAGAAAGAAATAGTCGACGAACGGTTGTTGTTACGCTTATCTCTGTCTTTGGTTTTTTTAACGTGGCTGGCGTTTCATTTATGTATCGTGTCATTAGAAAAAGAATAAAAATTATTTTTCCGTTTTATAACTCTTTACGAATCGGAAAAAAAGAAATGCAAATTGACGATAATATTTATCGGAAGGATAAGGATAGGATAGAGAGAAAAGTACGAGAAAATTTTCCTTTCGTCTCCCCTTATTGTCGTGGAAGGAGAAAAGGAGGAGAAGGAGGCACACTACTTATCTTTTGTTTTCAGGTCTCTTACAAATGAGAATACGTCGGTACGGATTTTTGATTTGGGAAAACGGGAAAAACTAATCAATCCGCACGAGATTAAAATGACCTTATCATTATATTACGTCACGAACACTGCCGGAAAAAAAGACTGATAACGATAGAATAAGAGGAAAATTTTTTTTTGTTTTTCTCATTAAAATATAGTCGTAAAAATACGTAGTACAAATTATACATGTTTAAATTGTTCTTTTCCTCCTCCCTCCCTCCTACCCCTTTCCTCCCACTTCCCCCCCCTCCTCCCATTATTTAAAGAATGTAACATCATCATTATTATCATCATCATCATCATCATCATTACTAAAATTTTCATTTCGTTTTTTAAATTTATTTATTTAAGTCACGCGTTTGTAATATATAAATGTTTACGTTATTAAATGAGTTCGGTTATTCACGTATGACGTCATTGAAATTATGACGTAATGAAATGTTCCCTAAAAAATGGGGTGGGGTAAAAAAAAGACGACTTTTCGAATAAGGAAAACAAAACTCTTACCCGAAAAAATTAATAAAAGCTCGAAATAATAGTTATTATTATTATTATCATTAGAGGAGGTTAAGGAAAATGGGGGGCGAGGGGAGGGGAAAGGTGGGGGGAGAGAGAGTTTAAGAAGAAATAAATAAATAAAATACGTGATGGGAAATGACGTAGTCGATTGTTTGTCATGGATCGATCGATCACTTTCTCTCTGATTTTTTTTGTTTTTCCCCCTTCGTTAAAATAAAAACGATGACGTCAAAATAGTAATAATAATAATAATAATAAGAGCAATCGATAGAGAGAGAGAGAGATTTTTGCTTTATTTTACGTCATTAAAACTTATTAATTAATCGTATTAGATTTTATTTACTATCATCATTTCTACGACTACTAATTAATAAAATTAATAATATTAATCCTATTTATTATTATTATTATTATTAATTTTAACGTCGTTACGAAAAACCCGAAAACCTGAACCTGCACGAAAAAAAAATTTTTTTCTGATTTATATAATCGAAACATTTTATTATTATTATCGATCATTTTTAGTTTTAATTAAATTTAAAAATGTTTGTGCGTACGAGTATATATTTTTTTATTAAAAAACCCCATCCTTCGCATAAGTTATACATGGGAGTTGTGCGTCATCTTACGTTTTCATTCGAAAAAAATTTTCCTCTGTTAATTTTTAACAAATGAAATGAGAGAAAAGAGAATTATATTAATGACTGGAAAAATTTTAACAAATCCTAATTATTATTATTATTATACATTTACGCATTGTTACGCACGCGCGTTTTGCGAATATATACGTAAAGGTTCGGTTACGCTGCGTGAATAATAATAATAATTTAATTTTTTAACGTCGGCCAATGGAAAAAAAAATTTTTTTTTTCTAATTTTTAACAAATCCTAATTATTATTATTATACTACGTTTACGCATTGTTACGCACGCGCGTTTTGCGAATATATACGTAAAGGTTCGGTTACGCAGCGTGAATAATAATAATAATTTAATTTTTTAACGTCGGAAAACTGAAAAAAAATTTTTCTGTTTTTTTTTTCTAATTTTTTCCATCGAAAATTTTCACCGCGGAATTCGTTTGTTATCACCATCATTATTATCATCATCATCATCATTATTATTATTATTATTATTATTTAATTATAAAATCATTTTTTTTTTTCGTAATTTTCGGTTTAAAATTTTCCTCTCGCCCATTCTCTCTCTCTCTCTTTATTTTGGATTCTTTCCGTTTTTCCGTACGAAAAATTATTTTTAATTTAAAATTATTATCATTATCATCATCATCGTCATTATTATTATTATTATTACTACTACTATTCATTGTAATGTTTTATTATTACTACTACAATTGAATTCTCTTCAACCATTTTCCCCTTTTTCCTTTTTTTTTTTTTTGTTAAAGTTAAACATTAATATTTTAGAGAGAGAGAGAGAGAGAGAAATACGGATAAATGAATAAATAAAAAGAGATGAAAAAAGAATAAGAAAATGCGCTAAGAAAAATTAATAATAATAATAATAAGAATGATTATGATTAGAACGAAAAGTGATTCGAATTTTCCATATTTACAATTAATTTATAATATTTGCCGTAATAAATCATCATCATCATGGTAATTATTATTATTATCATCATCGGGAAGAAGATGCGTTTGCGTTTGCGTGTGCGTGTGCGTGTGCGTGTTTGCGTTTGTAACGAATTAAAAAAATAAAAAAAAATTTTTTTCGCTTATGTTAAAACGTAAGTGGAAACATTTTATCAAAGAAACTTTTTCCGTTATTTTTTTTTTTTAACTTTCCTTTGATAATAAGTACCTTTGAATTTTTCCTTTTTTGAAAAAAAAATTTTTCTTTTCTTTCGTAATAATTATTTTTTTTAAAAAATAATTTAGTTAATAATTAAAACGAAATTAATTAATAAAAATAACGAAAATCAAATTAAAAGTTAGTCAAAGGAGACTTTTTAAACCTTTGAGAAATAAAAAAAAATTTTTTTTTTTTTTCCTTTGGAATTTTATCAAAAATAAAAAATAAAAAAAAAAAAGGAAAAGAAAAGAAAATACAACAACTCCTTGTAAAATTCTTTTTTAAGGTGAAAAATCGATTTCCGGTATTTGATGATAAAAAAGAGGAGGAAGTAGACAACAAAAAAAAAAAAATGAAAGGTGGAAAAAAAAAAACGTCATTTTGACGAAGTGGAAAATTGACATGCAACAACAACAACAACAACAAACAACAGAAAAAAACAGAAGCAGAAGAAAAAAAAGGAAAAAAAGAAAGGAAAAAACATACAATGGTTTTTTTTTATTTTTAAATATTTTAAAATGTCGGATGTCGGATGTTGTTTCATTTGTTCATTCGTTTGTTCATTCGTTTGTTTGTTTGTTTGTTTGTTTGTTTGTTGTTTGTTCGCACGATCGGAAACGAAATTTAAAAAATTAAAAAAACTACATAAAATTTTTAATAAATCAAAAACGAATGAAATTTTATTAAAAAAAAAAACAATTTCGTGTAAGATGACAGACGACAGACGACGACAACACACGAAAACACACGACAATACACGATCATCCATTTTTAAAAATTCAAAATGGCGTCGGACGTTATGTTAATTTTTTTTCAATTAAAAAAACCGAAAGTCGTGACTGACTCATGATAAATAAATAAATAAATCAATTTTTTTTTAAAAATCAAAATTGAATTAATTACAAGCAACTGACGCGGACGCGAAGGATTTTCCGAAAAAAAAAAAAAAACTTGTCGACATTTCTATTGTGTCAGAGGGAAACGTGTCGCCAACGTTTGAAAAACAGAAAAAAAAGGAGGGAAAACTTTATTGTTTTTTTAAAAAAATTTATTCTTTGCGAAAACGAACACGTTTAACTCGGTTCCTTATTTGCATTTTTTTCCTTTTCATTTTTTTTCCTTTTTTTCGTTTCCTTTTACACTCAAAGGAAATGAGTAACGAACGAACGAAATAATAATAATAATAATAATAAACTTTATCTCTACTTTAAAGGCGTAAAATTTAAAAAAATTTTAAAAAATAATTAAACGAAAAAATTTTTTTTAGATTATTAAAAAAAATTTTTTTTTTGTTTTTTGTTTTTCACTGACCGGAAATGACGTCACGAGGAAAATTTTTTTTTTGCTTTTTTTTATCGTAAAGGTTTAAAAATTGAAATAAAAAAATAGAAAAAAGTTTTTTTTTTTATACAAAAAAATTAAAATAATCCTAAAAAGTTATATTTTTAGTATTAGCATCATTATCATCATCATCAATATTATCATTATTATTATTATTATTATTTTTTAAACGAAGTCATTTTTCCATTGATCATCTCTCAACCGAGACTAATTTAAACTCCGCTCAATTGCTTTCAAACTTTTTTTTATAAAACTTTTTTTTTTAGATTTTTTTTTTTTTGAAAGGGTATAATTAACAAAAAAGGGGGAGAGGGAAGGGGGAGGGCAAAGGGAGAGAAAAGGGAGAAAAGAAAAAGAGAAAAAAAAAATTCATTCCTCCTGTTTTTGAAGCAATAGAATAGAAAAATAAAGAAAAGAAAAAAGAAAAAAAAAATGGACGA